ATAAAGACAAATATAACAAAGTTAAAGATGAATATAGTAACGAAGACAGAGACAGATATAGTAATTAGGGTGGAGACGGATATGGCGACAAAGATGGAGACAGATATGGTGACGAAGATGGAGACAGATATGGCGATGAAGATGGAGATGGATATGGCGACGAAGAAGAAGATGGATATAACAACGAAGACAGATATGGTGATGAAGACGAATATGATGACAAGGTAAAAACAAAACCAGCGACGAAGATGGCAGAAAATATGGTAACAAAAAGACAATAAAATATTGACGAAGGCACCAACGGAGGCACCAACGGAAGCACCAACGAAAGCACCAACAGAAGCACCAACAGAAGCACCAATTAAAGTAAAAGCAGAACATATCAATGTTAATGATTCAAACAAAGATACCAATGGGAAGTCAACAATGTTAACGATGATAAAAGTGTAGCTATGTTCTAAGGTGGGAAGTAAGTAAATATTAATCAAAAGTTATCCTAATATCAAAAACAAGGAAATAAATAACTACCGTAGACTATTGCTTGTAGTATCCCTCAAAAATGGTATCTTACTATATAGAGTAACTCCTGGATTCATGAATTATGCCCGACCATCATTGTTGGCTCACTAAGAACAAAAAAATTAGTACATCATTATATGATAATATCAAATTGAGTACACAAAGTTGGTTAATACTTCGATAGAAAAAGAATAAGATCAAACAAATAGTCGGTTTTTAAATAGGTTTAATTTTTACCTTGAGATATCAATCGAAAAGCTCATGCGGCAACATTAGGTAACTATGAAATAATGGTGTATTCTTTTTTTTTTTTTTAATAGATCAATAACAATGTACTGAAGGTTTTTTTTTCTTAGGGGTCTATAACGATGATCCAAATAGGTCAATAACAATGTTTTGCCCGGCACTATTCCATTTTAACATAAAAAAAAACTCTAACATAGTTTTAATTTTTCTCCAACGCACTATTAATATCCTTAAACTACTTACAAGATTTCAAATAATTATAGATCACCTGCATCTAAAAGTGATCCCACTAGGAAATCCGAACTCGAACAATCACTAACTTTGTACTTTCAGTAACTTTACGTTTACCAAAGAGTATTTGCAGTCAGACCACTATTAATGAACGAAATTTTAAAAACCAATACAGGTTTAATAAATAATAAACATATGAATTATTTTCATACCTCGACGTTGATAAAGTTGTCACTACTCTGATTTGATAAATGTCAAGTAATTTGCGATTGTAATTTCCTGAATAAGATCCTGGATACTGTAAGCAGTGGCCTATGGTATTGTGTTCTATTATAATAAGCCCCTATAATGAATAAGTGCCCTCTATAAATAAAATTGTCGATCCTGAATAAGCGACCCGTGGCCTGATCATTTTTTAAAAAAATTTGGCAGACGTTATAATTTTAGATATAGATTTGTTACCATAGTTGATTGGTAAATCTCCAAATAAAGTAAAATTTTAGATAAGGCGATCCTATGGGACTAACAATGGCAGTTTAAAAAATTTCGCTCATTATGTAATCTCATTAAAAAAAAATTTCACTATAAAGAAAAACATTCCGAATTAGTTTAGAGTTAGGGTCCCACCAGTAAGTTAGTATTTGTCTTAAAGGGTTATAGTTATAGTAAAATTTCCAGAGGAAAATTTTTTGTTAGTATGCAGAAGGCACTTTCATAGGCAAAATTTTAAGCTATAAGCATTTTTTTGTTAGTTTGATTTCTTTGCACTTCTTTTATATTAGACCTGATCTCAAAATCTAATTGGCTAGCAAAATTTTTTTGATTGGTATTTTAATACTGTTGGGTGATCCTATCATGAATAAACACCCGCGACTATGATTAAAATAGGTGCTTATTTGATGTCACATATTGTTTATAGTGCTTCGCCATATAAAATACATAGGTGATCTTGATAGTACGTAGATTAGTAGAAGTATGTTGATTATACTTACAGCATAAAAGATTAAATTATTGAAGTTTCTAATGAATAAAAAATCAAATTTAATTATAATAAAACCAAT